GCCACCAGAGCACGACCCAGCCTACGAGAATGGGCAGACCACATCGCACAAGACGGGCAGCATGGAGGGTTTCAAGCACAGCCAATCAACCTCAGCGAGGAGAAGCGCATCCTGAAGGAGAGCACCTACGACTTCACCATCGAGCACAATCAGCAGGTCCGACAGGAGTACGAGGGCGCCAGGGACAATGTCAAGCGCGCCCTCTACGGCGTAACCAAGCGGCTCAAGTACTTCAAGAAACGCGCCTCCGCGCCCGAGTGGTCGCTGCCCGCAGAGATCTCCCAGATGATCCTAGCGCCCACAAACATCGCCAAACAGAAGTCAAAGACGACAGGCGTGGGCTTCGAAGACGAGCTCGCGGAGGCACCCCTCACGCAGGAATGCTTCGAGTCAGTCATCAACCACGTGTACCGAGTCGGCTTTGCACCTCTCGACGCCCACCACAGCCAGAATTTCTTCCTGGACAAGCAGAACGGCAAGCCCAAGATGCTCGGCTTGCGCATCCTTCACATGCTCTGCCCCTTCTGGCGCCGCTTCTACCGCCACCTCCAGCGCAAGTCGAAGCCGCGGTCCCCGCCACCGCATGCACGCGGACGCTGGCCACACCGGCGTCGCGAAGTACCCGTGGCGGCCACGCGCGTCGTCGCGCACCGACTCCAGCGGGCCAGAGCCGACTTCATCGCGGGCAGCAAGGACGCCACCAACGCGTTTCCCAGCACCAACATCGACGAGGCCGCCAGCACCATCCGACCAACCTCAGCGTGACAGGGCAGCGCTTTTTCCTCAAGGGGTTCCAATGCGCCAGCGTCCAGATTGACGGTTTCGATTCCACGGGTGACTACAGCATCGGTTCTGGGATGGTGCCAGGCTGCAGTGCGGGCCCCACCTCATTTAACTTCATCTACGAACAACCCGTGGGACAGTGGCTCGAGGACACCCCGCAGGACTCCGCCCCCTTCGCGGCAGTCTCGCCGATCACACGCGCCCTGCTGGACCTGTCCATCTACCTGTGCGTGGACGACATCTTCAAGCTCCACCTCGTCCCCACTGGCCTCGCGCGCGACGCAGCCCGCATCCTCGCCAACAGCAACGCCACCCTCGACAACTGCCTGGCCGAGTACGGGTTCCACCAGAACAGGGGCAAGGAGTAGATCGTCGGAGGGCTGCGAACCAGGCGCGAAAACCGAGCACTAGCCGAACAAGTGCAAGGGCGAGTCCTCCGAACCCTCAAGTACCTTGGCGGCCACTTCCACCACGGCGGCAGCAACGCCATAGAGATCGACCAGCGCATCCAGAGCATCAAGCGGGCTTGGCACATCATGGGCAAGTTCTGGCACCGCAAGGTATCATGGCGGCTCAGGCGTATCATCTTCATCGACCGCGCGATCGGCGCCGCAGCCAGCGGCATGGAATCCCACCTGCTCAAAGACACAGAAAACAAGCGCCTCGACGCAGCCATCGCCAAATTCATGCGAGCGCCTATGAAGGGCAAAGCCACCACCATCGACGAGGCAGGCCACTACAACACCATGGCCAACGCCGAAGTCCCCCCGATGCATATCGAGCTGAAGGTTCGCAGGCTGCGCATGATACAGGCCTCCGCCAAGTACCTATCAGACTACGACCAGTGGCTCACCGCACTGTTTGGGGTCATCCAGTTCGGGCACGCCTACAACCGCGAGCCGACTGGCGAGCTAGACGATGACGGCCAGCTCACCACAGACGCGAACCCCATGGCGAAGCAGTACCACAATGATATCCTCTCGGTTCTCGAGTTAGACAGCGCCGAGCAGTTCAGTTACATGTGGGACGGAAGCATCACTCAACTATATCATGCAGCAGAGGTTGCAGCGGTATTCATCAAGATCAACGTGGCGGAATTACGGGCAAGGGCATCCGCAGTTGCTATTCCGCCTTCTGGTTTCGCGCTGCCAGAACCGCACGATCTCGACCAACGAGCAGGAGACGCGCTGGGTTACCACAAATGTGACCTTCTCACGGACGCAGAACAAATCTGCGGCTGCAGTTTTTCGACATGGACAGCGCTCTGCACACACCAGACCGCGACAAAAGGAGGAGAGCACGGGCTTCGATCAGCAGCATCAGCAGTCACCATCACCAATCAGTGCCCACTCTGCCGTACTACGTTCGTGGATCGGGCCCAGGCTGAGGATCACTCGTTGCGTTCGCTCAAGCACGAGCGCTGCGTTGCCGACAACGCCAGGCTTCACTGCCCGTTGATATCGATCGAGAACCCAGCTTGCCCCCAGTGCCCCAACATGCAGCCGTTTGCCCACCTCTCGAGCTTCCAGGGCCACGTCTGCGCGGCACACTTGCCAACCGAAGAGCATCACATCTCATTGGACAGTGGACTGTTCCAGGATGACGTGGTGTCTGCCTACGGAAAAAGGACATCGAGGACGTGGCGAGCAGCGTGGCGGACACGGAACGCTCGAACAAGCACCAGAAGACTACGCACCCCAAGGGCAAGGGCGGCCACCACAAGAAAGGCGACAAGGCCGAGGCGGCAAAGGACGCGGACGGGGACGCCACCATGCAGGACAAGGACGCGGACGACACCAAGGGCGAGGGCAGCCCAGCAGCCGCGGCAGCAGCAGGACACAAAGTGCGCCGACAGCAACGCGGAGGAGAAGCCTACCAAACCAAGTGCGACCCGAAGCTGAAGAAGCTGCTCACCGTGCTCATCAAGCAAGTGCTGGCCAACACACAACAGATCGCGTGGGCCGTTTCCGCGGTGTACAGCACGTGCCTGATGCCCACGCAGACCAAGGTGATCAAAGCACCCCGAGCATGCAGGAAGATCTACGCGGAGAAGTGCAGGGAAGCTGGCAAAGGACATGCGTTCGGACCACTGGAGGGCCACCTGTGCGTCACGCTTATTTCGACCCTCTGCACCGAGGACGTGGGCGCCAAGACGAGGACCATTCTCGCCGAGCACGGGAAGTTCGTGGATCAGATCAACGTGGCCACCGTGCTCAGCAAAGTCAAGCACCTCAAGCTCCGCAAATGCTACGACAGCAACATGGCGAAGCTCACCATCTACATCGAGCAAGGGCCGTGGACCGACGCCGAAGCGGAGGAGGAAGCCAGCGAGGAGCAGATGAAGCAGGCCCACATCAAGGACAGCATCCACAGAGCGCTGATCCAGGCGGGGGCCACAGTGAAGACGGGAAAGCCACCAGCGGGAGTCATGGAAGATGAACTGGCCGCGTGGTTGGCAGGGCTATGAGAATATGGGAAAGTGGATGGCCGATCGACTACGCCTCGTTCGGCAAGTGATCGGCGCGCGTGGTGCCGTGATCACGATGAAGGTGCCGCTCTGAGCGGCGACGGCGGGGGCCCATTCATGCGGCTGAACGCACTGCTCCGCCCCCCAAGGCCGCTCTATCTATCTATCTACCTCCTCCTCCTCCCCCTCTTCCTCCTCCTCCTCCTCCTCCCTCCTCTCCTCCTCCTCCTCCTCCTCCTCCTCCTCCTCCTCCTCCTCCCTCCTCCTCCTCCTCCTCCTCCTCCTCCTCCTCCTCCTCCTCCTCTCCCTCCTCCTCCTCCTCTCCTCCTCCTCCTCCTCCTCCTCCTCCTCCTCCTCCTCCTCCCTCCTCCTCCTCCTCCTCCTCCCCTCCTCCTCCTCCTCCTCCTCCTCCTCCTCCTTCGCCTCCTCCTCCTCCTCCTCCTCCTCCTCTCCCTCTCCTACCTATGGTAGTGGTGGTGGGAAATCGGCTCCTCAAGAGGGTCGCCGCGTGGGTGGAGGCTCGGCGTCGGGAGCTGCCCTTCTCCATTCGGCGGCGCGCCGGCCAAGAGAGCCGACGCCCCAGAAACGTGGAAGCGGCGGGTGATGGGCCGCAGTCGGCCTCCCGTGGCCCTTGTCGGGCCTCGGGGCCGCCAAAAAACGAGTCAGGACGAAAAGCTGGCCCCAGGGAAGTGGCCCAGACCTCCGGGGCCCACGCATCGAAGGAATCGGGGAGGCCGGACGGCTGGGGAGGGGGGCAGCGAGCGAGAGGGCGCGGGCGTTGCTTGCCTCGCTTTCGCCGGCTCTCGGCGATTTTGTGGCTTCGCGGTGCTTTCCAGCAGCTGCGCTTCGCTGGGAGTGCTCCGGGGGTGCCTGGGTTGTCCCGAACGGCCACGGGAGAGCCGAGGCATGGCCCAGGCGTCCTGAAGGGGCAGGGCTTCTCAGAAGGCGGCGGGGCTTCCCCGAAGCCCTCCCCTGAGACCTGACGTTGCCGAAAAAAATCCAGAATCGCAGAAATCACGCCCGGGCCCCCAGACCCCATCTTTCTGCGTAATTTTTCGAGTCGGATCGATCTGTGAGGGTCCTGGGCCCGAAATCAAGCGAAAACGCCCGTTGCGAAACATGTGCAACGCAAGGATCTCAAGGTCCCCCGCCTTCTGAGAAGCCCTTCGTGGCCTCGTGGAGAGTTCACAGAGCTTCTCGGAAGGCCCGGGGGCCTTCTGAGCCTCCTGAGAAGACTCTGAAGGCCGTTTCCCTCGAGGCCACGTCCTCCCCGCCTAGCCTAAGATAGGCCTGGGGGATGCTCAGCATTGGTGGCTCGCTCGCTCGCTCGCCCCCTCCCCAGACCTTCTCGAGTCATGCAACAATCTCGACGGGAGGTTTTTCGCAATTTTCGGTTTCAGGGGGCCCTTATATGACCGGGCCTCGGGAGCATGGCAAAAACGATTCAGGATGCTAAACCGGTCCTGGGGAAGGGGTCCAGACATGCAGACAAAACGGTCGAATTGGGTACGGAAAGAATGGGCACAAGGACCAACAGCATTTCCTGTTCATTTTGGGCAGAAGTCGCTGTCGGCGTCGCCGCGGCCTGTGTCCACTGAAGACAAACAGCCGCCTGCCCAAAAGCGGTCGCTGTGGCATTATACCCATCCTTTCCGTGCCCATTTCGGGCATCCAAATCTGAGGGTCGACGTTGGGAGAAATCACGACGTTGGGGGTCAGGGCACCCCCCGGCTGGGCGCACCGCCGAGCCATGGACCCGGGCGTCGCGGTCGCGCTGGTCCAGGGCTGCGGCGGCGAGCCGGAGCTCCTGCGCGGGTTCGGCGCGAGCCGCGGCGCCGCAGCCGCGGCGCCCGTGACCGAGCACACGCTCTTCGAGATCGGGTCCCTGTCGAAGACGCTCGTGGCGCTGGCCCTGGCGACCCTGGTGGACCAGGGCGCCGTCTCGTGGGACAGCCGCGTGGCTGGCCTCCTCGGGCCTGGCTTCCGCTTCTCGAAGGAGAATGCGCGGCGCAAGCACGAATCTTCGGCGCTTCGCGCGCATTTCTCGGATTGGCGCTGGGCCCCTCCTGGCGGCGCCTCCGGCGCCGCCCCTGCAGCGTGCTCCGCGCGCCAGGCAGGGGGGCTTAGCGCCGATCCAAGAGATCCGCCCCGAGCTCCGAAGGTTTATGCTCGAGCAGCTGTTTTGTCCCTCCAGCTTCGGGGGCGGGGCCCAGGGCCGCTACGCACGGGAGCAGCTGACCCTCCGCGACCTGCTTGCACACCGCAGCGGCCTGGCGGAGGGCCAGGGCGACCTGGCCACCGCGCTCTTCCCGGCGCGGGAGCTCTCCTGGCGCCTCGGCGCGCTGGAGCCGGCGGGGGCCCTGCGCGCCGGCTTCGCGTACTCGAACACGGGCTGGGACCTGGCGGGCGAGTGCCTCCGCGTCGCCGCCAACGCCTCCTCGTGGTGCGAGGCGGTGCGCGCGCGGGTGCTGGAGCCCCTGGGGATGGCGGAGACCTTCTGCGACCGCAACTCGGTCCCAGAGGCCGCCGCCGCCCGCGTGGCCGGCGTGCACGTGGCCAGCCCGTGCGACGGCCTCTCCAGGCCCTCGCGCTGCTTCCGCCGCCCCGCCGCGCGGGCGCCGCCCCTGCGGGCCTTCAACCTCAGCAGGAGCGGCCCGCCGGGCTCCTTCGGCTGGGGCGCCGCAGAGGCCGCCGGCTCGGTCCTGAGCTCCGCCTCCGACATGTCGAGGGTCATGGGGCTCCTGCTCCAGGCCTCCCCTGGTTGTGGCGAGCCTGCCCCCGTGCGGCGCGAGACGCTGGCGGAGATGCTCTCGGGCCAGATGGTAGTCCCGGCCTCTTGGCCACGGCAGCTGGGCGTCCCTGGTGCGGGAGGCGCGGGCGCAGCGCTGGCGGCGGGCCTCGGCTTCGACGTGGTGGGGCGGCTTGGGCCAGCCGGGGCCGGCGAGGCGCTCGCGGGGCAGGCCTACGCAGAGAAGAACGGGGACACCGCGATGCACAAGGCGAGATTGGGCCTGCTGCTTGATAGCGGCTCGGCGGTGCTGCTGTTGGGAAACATGGGGGGCGAGGTGGGCGACCCGCTCGCCGCGCTGAAGTTCGGGGCCCTGGCGCTCGCCGCTGGGGCCAGCGAGCAGCAGGCCGACGACGCAGCGGAGATGTCCCTGAACGCCTCGGGGTACTGGCAGAGCTGGTTCCTGCCCAGCGCCACCTGCACGCCGTGCGGCACGGCGCTCTCCAGCCTGGGCTTCTGCCTGCCCGGGAACAGGACCTCCCCCAGCGTCGCCGCCTCTGCCCTCGCGGGGGCCTACGGCGACGACTTCTACGGCAGCAGCGTGCTCCGCGTGCGCGAGGAGGAGGGCGGCGGGCTGCGGGCCAGGCTCGGCCCCGTGGACGCGGCGCTCCGCTTCGGGCCCGGGAACATGGACACGACCATGCCCTGCGCGCAGCTGGAACAGTCTCTGGCGCTGCCGGCGTGGATGCGCGGGCCGCTCGCGCGCTCGGGCGGGTCTTGCCGCGCCGTGGAGCTGCGCGCGCCCGCAGAGGCCCCCGCCGCCGGCGTCAGCGCGCGGGGGCGCAGCGCAGCGTTCCCGTGGACCTGCGGCACGTTCCCGCTGCCCGACGCGCTGCCGATCTTCCTCGTTGTGGACGGCCGCGGCGCCCGCTGGGCCTTCCTGCCCACGGCCGGGGTGCTGCTGCCGCGTCGGGGCCCCGCAGGGGAGGGGCCGCCCGCGCAGGCGCTGGTGGTGTGAGGTCCGGGCGGGGTGGCGCCCATGCGAGCCGGGAGAGTCGACGTTCCTCGGAGCGAGGTGTGTGTGTGTGTGTGTGTGTGTGCCCCGTTCGACTCCGCCGAGAGCACGCAGCTTGTGTCGGCCCTTGCTGCACCGCCTGCGTCGTACCGAAGGGCGTCGGTGGGCACGCACACGTTGGCGCCAGCGCGCGCTCCAAGGATCATCGGAAGTGAGCTCGCGCGCTTCCCTGCATCGGGAGGTCTGGCGCTGCTTCGGGCGAGGGCAGGCGGGCAGCTGCTGACCAACAGAGTCCCCGCTTGTGGTCCCTGACGAGTTTCGAGTCCCCGCGGCCAAGCTGAGTGCGTCCAAGCGACTCGCTTCGCCGTCGCCGTCGTGTTCGTTGCAGGAGGAGGAGGATGAGGAGGAGGAGGGAAGGAGGAGGAGGAGGAGGAGGAGGAGGAGGAGGAGGAGGAGGAGGAGGAGGAGGAGGAAGGGGCAATCGTGCGCGAAGCGCAAGGCTGCCTTCGACGAGTACCGAAGCGCGCGCGAGGTGCTCGTGTGGTTCTAATCCATGTCAATGTAACCAGGAGAGCGCCTGCGAGCTTGTAGATTCGTGCTGTTGCGCGTCGGTTCATGTGCGGCACTCTGCTTGTGGTTGCCGAAGCAGCCGTGTCAACGTACCTGTTTGCCACCACGATTATCATGGAACGGTCATTCCCCACACTCGTGTGTTGCTGGGTCGTCGCTTTGCATGCGCAGCGCCGCGCTCCACTCTCCTCACCCTGCCTCTCTCCCTCTCTCCTTCGCCCTCCCCCCCTGGCCCCTGCTCTCCGCCCGCATGCCAGCTCGGCGCACCCCTCGCACGCCTCGCACCCCCCCCCCCCACCCCACCCCGCATCGGGAGCTTCGCCTGCGGCCCCGGCAGGGCTCACGCCCACTTCGCCGCACCGCTCGCGCGCCTCGTGCCCCCGGGGGGGGGGGGGGGCAGCCTCGCCGGCCCCCGCGGGCGTGGGCGCATGCCGCCCAGCGCTCGGACGATCGCGAGGATGGTTGACTGTAAGGGGGCGTGGCTTAGTTAGCCACGGGTCCCGTTTCCATAGGAAATCGCTGATTGCCGCCGTCGAGCGAGGCGCCACTGGCCGCGTTTTGGGGAGGGCACCTCCCCCGATCCATGGATTCGGCGACCGCACGCCAGATCCATGGATCGCCAATCCAGGTCTGCGCGCCCCCGAAGCGCGTTTCGTCCCCCCCCCCCCCGCGGGGAGGTGCACCTGCGGCCACAGTGGGCGGGGCGCAGCGCACGGATGCCCCCCCCCCCCAGCCCACAGGGAGCTCCGCCTGCGGCCCCGGTGGGCGCGCGGACGCCTGCCTGCCCTCTGGGGCGTTTTGGCCTCCGCGGGGAGCTCCAGCCATGGCCCGTGCTGGCACACCCCTCACGCGCGCCCCCTGGAGAGCTCCACCTCCAGCCACCCCAGCGGTTGCGTCCGCATGCCGCCCCTCTCGACTACGTCGCGACACCCCTCACATCACACGTTTCGCACCACGGTGCCAGTTCGTACGTTCGCACGCCGCCCCCATCCAGTTCGACACACCCATCACACCTTTCGTGCGCCTCGGAGAACTCCACCTGCGGCCCCAGCGGGTGCGTTCGCATGGCGCCCCCCCAGACCATCTCGACACACTGCTCACACGTTCCGCGCCTCGCAGTGAGCTCTACCCACGGCTCAAGAGAAGCAGTCCACATGCCGCCCCCCCGCCCAATTTCAGCACACCCCTCGCGAGTCTGGTGATGTGCCGCACAGAGAGCGCCACCTACGGCCCCAGCGACACGGTTCGTAAGCCGCCCTCTCGCCCATGTCGGCGCACCCTTCATCCGGCTCGTGCCCCATGAGGAGCTCCACCTACGGCCCCTGCGACATAGCTTGCATGCCGCCCTCCGCCCATTCGGTACCCCCTCTCGCGGATTGTGCCCCGCATTTTGCGCGCGTGCTCCGCAGGTCCCCATACGCACCGCCGCGCAGCGCGCAGTGTATGAAGAGAGGGCCACGTCCTACGCTACACACAGCTTCCTAAGGTTGGGCCCTTTGCCATGCTAAGTGCTGGTTAATTCGGCGACCGCAAGCCACTGTTTGCAAGGTGGCGTATCGCAAACACAAGAAGTTAGGCGACGTCCCCCACGACAATGGGATCCATTCCATTTGCGAGCAGTTTCCCTGTGTGTAGCCACATGCCGCTGCCTGATCCCATCGGAGGTGGAGGAGGAGGAGGAGCAGCAGCAGCAATGAGCAGCAGCAGCAGGGAAGGTATGCTACATCTACCGGTTGTTCACAACGGGCACGATTGACGAGAAGATCTACCAGCGCCAGATATGCAAGGCTCCTTTTACCAGTTGCCCCATCTGCACAGAGCGTTCAACACTTCCACAAAAAAGTTAGATCTTTGGCCTGGGCTGTTGAACTTCGGACTGGAGGTTGGAGATTCGGGGCCGTCTGGGTATTCCGGTCCGAGCTCCCTTCACATGATGTGCGCTGGGTAGCTTCCCGGTGTGCTCTTACCTTTTTTCTGGCAGCTCTGTGCAGAGGCAGTGGAAGCAGGTGCCGACAGATGTCCTTTTGTTCACTGTGAGGAGGGAGGGAGGAAATAGGAGTGATGAGCAGGAGGAGGAAGGATGTGTCAGCAAATAGGGAATAGGGATATATATATATACATATATATACATAGAGAGAGAGAGAGAGCACAGCTGGGAGGAGGGAGGAGGGAAAGGGAGGAGGGGGAGGGAGGAGGAGCAAGAAGGAAAGATGGAGAAGTGAGACGGGAGAAAGGATGAGTGCGAAGAGTGGGGGGAGGGGTGAGGAGTAAGCCAGGGCAAGGGGGAAAAGGAGGAGGATGAGGTCGAGCAGGAGGAGGAAGAGTTCGAGCATGGGGCTGAGGAGGAGGAGGAGGAAGAGGAGGAGGAACAGGAGGAGGAAGAGGAGGAGGGGGAGGACCGCTACGAGGACGATGACGGGCGCGAAGTCGAGCAAGG